GTCGCAAGTTGGGAGGCCAGCCTCAGCAACTTAGTGAGGCCCTAAGCAACTCAGCAAGACCCTGTCTCTAAATGAAAAATACAAAGAAAAAAAAAAGGGCTGGAGATGTGGCTTAATGGGCTCCTGGGTTCAATCCCCAGTACCGAAAAAATAAAAAGTAAAAAATTAATCACGGAGGCTAGGAGGAAGGAAAGTAGAAGARGTGAGAAAGATGGTGGAGTGAATTCCATTGTCCAGCTTAAAGAAAAAAAAAATTCCTAGATTTTTTTTTTTTTCCTCCAGTGCTGGGGCTTGAACGCAGAGTCTTATGCTTGCTGGTCAGGCGCTCATTCAGCCACTGAGCTACCCCTACCTTTCCTGGTGGATACACAGGTCAGTGGACTCGATACYGCTCTCACTGCCTTCTGGTTCCCTCTTTCTTCCTCACAAGGTGCAGGCTGGGAAGCTCAGYGATATTTTCCCATGATCCCTTGTAGCCAGTGCTTTGAGTTACMCCCATGAGATGTCCTCCCACAGGACTTGCATTCAGAACTGAGTCGAGTGGCTGAGAGGTAGTGTTGCTCCAGGCATCCGCCTGCTGATGAGGATGCAGCAGGCTTTGTGAGGCTTCGATCCCCATCTCTGAGTTTAGGCTGTGTTGGGGCAGTCTCCTGATTACGTATGGCTCAGACTCCAAACTTCCCAAGAAGTCTCTCTACAATGTTGTAAAGGTCACTCCTGGAGGCCCAGCCTGGAGCCCCTTTTCTCTAAGTTCTTTTAAGCACCTACTTTCGTCTTCTCTGAATGTCTTTTTTGCTATTGCAACTCACTCCTGCCCGCCCCACTATTTAAAAACATGGAATATGTTGTTTAAGTGAAACAAAGATTAAACAAAGTGTTTATGTCTTCTCTCCCATTAAACCTCTCTGAAATGAGAGTAGATCATTTTTTTTAGGTACTGGGGACTGAATTCAGGGGCACTTAACCACTGAGCCACACTCCCAGCCCTTTTTTATATTTTATTTTAGAGACAGGGTCTCACTGAGTTGTTTAACACCTCACTAAGTTGCTGAGGCTGGCTTTGAACTAGCAATTCCCCTGCCTCAGCCTCCCAAGCCACTGGGATTACAGGTATGTGCTACCATGCCCGGTTTCCTCTTTTATTTTTTTTTTAAACATTTATTTTTCAGTTGTAATTGGACATAATACCTTTATTTTGTTTGTTTATTTTTTTTTAAAGAGAGAGTGAGAGAGGAGAGAGAGAGAGAGAATTTTTAATATTTATTTATTTATTTTTTTTAGTTCTTGGCGGACACAACATCTTTGTTGGTATGTGGTGCTGAGGATCGAACCCCGGCCGCACGCATCCCAGGCGAGCGCGCTACCGCTTGAGCCACATCCCCAGCCCATGTTTATTTTTTTAATGTGGTGCTGAGGATTGAACCCAGGGCCTCGCACATTCTAGGCAAGTGCTCTACCGATGAGCCACAACCCCAGCCCCCCCAGCAACCTCTTTTAATCTTGAGGCTTTTTCTTTTTAAAATTTATTTACTACTACTGCTACTACTTATTATTATGATTATTATTATTATTAGTAGTAGTAGTAGTAGTACCAGAGATTGAACCCAGGAGTGCTCAACCATTGAGCCACATCCCCAACCTTTTTATTTAGAAACAGGGTCTCACTGAGTTGCCTAGGGCCTCCCTTAGTTGCTGAGGCTGGCTTTGAACTCACGATCCTCCTGCCTCTGCCTCCAGAGACACTGGGATGCACCATTGCRCCCAGCTTTAGTTTATTTTTATTGGTGCATTAAAATTATATGTAATAGCCAGGCACGGTGGCACACACCTATAATCCTAGCAGCTTGGGAGGCTGAGACAGGAGAATCATGAGTTCAAAGCCAGCCTCAGCAACTACAAGGCACTAAGCAACTCAGTGAGACCCTGTCTCTAAATAAAATACAAAGTAGGGCTGGGGGTGTGGCTCAGTAGTGGAGTGCCCCTGAGTTCAATCTCTGGTACCCCCCCCCMAAAAAAAATCATACATAACATTTGAACTCATTATACCATATTTGTAGGTGAGCATAACATAATTTGATCAATCTCATTCCCCAGTGATGATCTTTTAAAAGGTAAAAACCCTTAAGGACTAAGAAGCCAGGAAAGGGTATGTCAATGCCTGAGGAGGGCAACACAATTTTGGAAGCTAGAAAGTAGAGACAAATGACAAGAGACGAGGCTGACTGGAAAATGTGAAGAAGCAGTTAATAAGAAAAAGGCCACTTGGTATCTAGGACTCCAGGAAGGCTCAGCTTTTGGAGAATCCTGGTACTTCTGTTATGGGGGGAGCGGGGTTTAGAGATGGATCTGGGAAAAAAAAGAAAAAGAACCGATTTGATATCACTGAAAGGAGCATTTGGACCCCCCCACACTCGCACCCCTCCACCATTCTATATGGATGAGGACCTCCTCTGTGTCCCTGGGGGATGAGGGGCTTGTCTTCTCTAGAGGCTGAACAACAGGCACAGTCCAGCAGGACTCTGAGACACATCCTAGCTGTGACCTGAGGAAGTTGTACTGAAAACAGAGTCATCAGAAGTCTGGATTGGGAAGCCCATATTCGTAATGGAGAGAGGGTCCCTGCTCCCTCTCAGCTCCAGCTTGGCCCTTAGATACCTGGTACTCAGACTTACATGCCCTGGCAGGAAATCAAGGATGCTCTGGGGAACAATGTCAATCAAAAGACAGAACATCTACAGATACTGGCATTGGGGGCTCCCCTAGTTAAATGGCTGGCCAAGACCCAACTACCCTACAGAGGACCCTACCCTGAGACAAGCCTTCTTTTTTTGAGGGGGTGGGGTACCAGGGATTGAACCAAGGGGCATTTAATCACATCCTCAGCCCTTTTTTGTATTTTATTTAGAGACAGGGTCTCACTGAGTTGCTTAGGGCCTCACTAAGTTACTGAGGCTGGCTTTAATCCTTCTGCCTCAGCCTCCCAAGCCATTGGGAATACAGGCATGCGACACCGTGCCCAGTGAGACAAGCCTTCTTATCCTGTGCCCACTCTGATCCCCACGGAATGAGAGGAGAATTTGCAACTCATATATTTGATGAAGTTCTGGTGTTCTGAATACATAAATTGCTCTTAAAATTTAATAATAAGTCCAATAACCAATTTTAAAATGGGCAAATGATTTGAATAGACATTTCTCCAAAGAAGATAGACCTTGGAATGGCTTCATGACATCATGAAGATGCTCAGCATTATTAATCATTAGAGAATGTGAATCAAAAGCACAATGAGGATCCACTCCACACAACCTAGGATGGCTAAAATGAAACACACAGGCATTAACAAGTGTCGGTCAAGGACATGAAGAAACTGGAACTTCACATACTGCTGGAGGGACTGTAAGATAGATAAAAGGCGGGTGATACTTCACTCTCCCCCAAACCTGAGGACTGTATTTTAATTCAGCCTTCATTGGTTTCACTTCATCCCATCTGAGTCTTGCCCTCTAACTTCTTCTACTATCTTCACCCTTTGCTGTAGCCAGAAAGCCAGCCCACAGCCACCTATGTCCCTAGAACACAAGAACTCTGTAATTAAAGACAGATCAAAGACAGGATACATTTGTAAACCACACACTTTGTAAGCTCTCCACAAATGTAAACTGCTATCTTTTGCCTTTTCCTTCCACTTGAAAATGTGTCTTTCTCTTGCCACATCCAAAGTGGTAGAGCTTTCAAAGTTAAGTTCGGCCTCCTCCCCCCACCCCAATTCTGGGGGCTCCAGACTGCAGGGCAGGAAGAAGACTTTTTGCTCTAAATTCTGGGGGTCTCACCACAAAATCAGTCCCATATTATGATCTGGCCCAAACTTCTCTGTGCACATTCTTTTGTCTGCATCCCTGTCAAACACCTGCTGGGCTTTCTAAACAGTGAAATCATCAGTGTTTTACTTATGTTAAACCCTTAATCTTTTTTGGCTTTACTCATTAAAGCAATATTCATCCTTGTGATGTGGTGGCTATTGGTCTTTTCCTTTTCCTAATGGTCCTATGTTGTTTTATGTGTGTGTGCAGGGACTGTCTCTGGAAGCATACACAATAAATTGATACTAATGGTTGTGCCTGAAAAGAGGAATTGAGAATCTGGGAGAAAATGGCACCATAAATCTTTCTGCTGTGCTTGATTTTTTTTTAAATGCATCTGGCATGCATTGCTTGTATTTAATAATAAACAATTTAAAGTACGAATTCACTTTTTTGTGGTGTTACTGATTGAACTCAAGGGCATTTGACCGTTGAGCCACATCCCCAGTCCTATTTTGTATTTCATTTAGAGACAGTCTCACTGAGTTGTTGAGCAACTCACTTTTCACTGAGGCTGGCTTTGAACTCGTGATCCTCCTGTCTCAGTCTCCTGAGCCACTGGGATTACAGGCACGGTTTCGCTTTACTTATTTTATGCACACACAACACACACACACACACACACACACACACATATTTTTTTTCAGTTGTTAACACATACCTTTATTTTATTTATTTTATGTGATGCTGAGGATTGAACCTAGTGCCTCTCACATGCTAGGCAAATGCTCTGCCAACTGAGCTACAACTCCAGCCCACAATTTCACTTTTGGGGGCTATAAATGGGTAGGAAGCGGAAGTTGGCTTAATGAAAGTAGTGTTGATTGACAACCCCCCCACACACGTTGATTGACAAATAAACACACACATTGATTGACACACACACGTTGACTGACAGACAGACGGACGGACACACACACACACACACACACACACACACGCACGCACGCACGCACGCACGCACGCACGCACACGAAAGTCCTCCTCGTCCTCCTTCGCCAGGCTCAGTAACGCTTCACACAGACTCCCTCAACCCACTTCCCTCAGGCCCAAGTTAAGCCCCGCCCTCTAACCCCACCCCGCAGGTCCCGCCCTGCATCTACGTCACCTCCGGCCGACAAGCTTTCCCCGAACTCCCTCTGGCTCCCGCCTTCGCCCGCTTCCGGTCGTCGTCGTCGCCGCTGCTGCCGCTGCTGCTGCTGCTGAGGCTGCAGGCGGAGGCCAGAGGACCGGGCGGCGGCGGCGGCGGCGGCTGAGAGGGCGGCGGCGGGAGCGAAGCGGGACAAGAGAGCGAGAGAAAGCGACGGAGGAGCTAGCCCAGCGCGCCTTGTCGCCTGCCTGAGCAGCCGGAGCCTTCCGGGCCCGCCGCCGCCGCCGCCGCCGCCCGCCTGCCCGCCCGCGGACAAAGCCTAGAGCCCGCGCCCAGAGCCATGTCCTCGTCCGCCGGCAGCGGCCACCAGCCCAGCCAGAGCCGTGCCATCCCTACCCGCACCGTGCCCATTAGCGACGCCGCGCAGCTACCTCACGACTATTGCACCACGCCCGGGGGGACGCTCTTCTCCACCACGCCGGGAGGTGAGACCGCGTCCCCTGCAGCTCCTCTGCGTGCCCGCGCCGCCCCCGGGACCCCGCTCGCGGCTTCGGGACCCTGCACTTTGCCTTCTGGCTGGCGCGCGACTCGAGTCTGCTCGCGCCTGCTCACCCGCCCACCCGGGAACGTGGCTCGAGCGTCTCAGAGAAAGCCCCGGTTCCCGCTTCGTGGCTTTAACGAACTCGACCCAGTTTCTCTCCCCGTCGCCTCCTTCCCAGGCGGATTCGGCCGCGCGTGGCACTCTGCGTTACCTTCCCCTCCTGCAGTTTGTGCTCGTTAATGCTTGACTTCGCGGGTGTTCCCCTGGCCTTCCTAGAAAGGAAGTTAGAGAGCGGGATTCAGTTCTGGGACCCTTCGGTGACATGTTTTGCTGTTTTTAAAAACGTCAGGAGGAGGCTGGAATGCAGAGTCCCGAAGCCTCGCCCAGTGTTATCCTGCTTTGACAGCATTGTTTACCTTGTTGGACGAGGCCCCACGGGTGGGGGAGTCCCCAGGCCGCGAGGAAAGTGTGATACAATAATGCTCAAGTCATAGCCAAGGGGAAGGAGGTGAGAATGGTGGAACGCTGGCAGCCTTAAGGGTAGAGTTTCCGAGTCTCTGCCTTTGGAGATTGGATTGAAGGGGGGCTTTTTGTCAAGCAGGACACCCTGGTCAGGTGAGGTTGCCTGATCCTGGGGAATGGGCTTGTAGAAAGAGGCGATGCACAGGGAGGTTCCTGGCATTGCTTTTCAAAGGAGGACGAGGAACTGTTTACAAGCAACAGTGGGGTAGAGGTGAAGCTTGTTGAATTGGTCACGGGAGAAGGGAGCTCAAAGGTTGTCTGTCTCTTGCCAGGGCTGTTCTCCAAAGGCAAAAGACTGGAACCAGGCTTCCTTTTAAGTTTAGATCTTTGCCTTCTTTTAGTGACCAGGCAGTCATCCCCTTGTAGACAGAGGGTGGGGACTTCGCTGGCAGCCCCTGCGGTCTACAGGATCTCTGGCCTTCTTTTTGTGGGCAGGGATGGCAAGTTGTACTACAACCAATCCCTGAATCCGTTGCACAATGGCAAAGCTTGTAGAGTAAGGGAACTGCCTTGCCAACACCAAGGAATTTAAATCTAGGAGAGAGAGTTACTGTGGATAGATCTATGGATAAGAAGCGGAAGTTGACTCAAGGAAAGTAGTGTTGATTGACAAACACACATGCACACAAAAGTCTTCCTCATCCTCCCTCCCTTGGCTCAGTAATGCTGAGAGATCCATGCTGTGCTTCCAGCAGTTCAGAACACGTGTTGCTATAACAACACAACCAGCTATGATTTTTATTTGGAGAAGAGACTAAACTTTTAGCTATATATTAATTTTCCCTGAGGGAAGAGCCACAGAGGGAACCCCTGCCATATTTCAAAAGTTAAACTGTTGTACTTTCAAAACAAGGGCTTTAAAGATAGAAGCCTGTCTCATAGTCTGGATTAGTTCCTAAAATGCTTGGGAAGATTTCTGCCAGAAATACTGATCCATTTACCCTCCCAACACACTATCACTACTGCTTGATCAAATATCACTTAACCTGCCTCCACACAGCTTATATGCATACTTTTGTTTTACATTTAAATACTTGTCATTGGCTCATCTGTAAAGTTGAGTTTGTATTTACTGGTAGATCTGCATGCACGAAGTGATCTTTTTTTGGATACACAAGTGCTCGTTTAATACTTAACAGAATACAATATCACTGCAGTTGAGTTTAATCACTATTTTAACAGTTAACTTAGTGCTGATTAGTTGTGGTTGTGTAGTACTTGACGTTTTTCTCCTTTGGAGATTTTCTGACCTCTGATGATTTGTTTCCTCTCTCTTGCTACACCCTTCTTCTCCCTCTTACCATGTAATTTTATTTCCCAGAACCAGAGTGAAGTTATTATTTGGTCACCTCTAGATTCCCAAACTAACGTGGATACATATCTTCAGTGAGTTTTGTGTGCTTAGTGCAGTGCTTTGCACAAAACAGAACAATACTCAAAAGTAGGAAATGCAATTGCTCTGAATGGACTTAAAATCCTGACTTGGAGAGATAGGAGGTGCAGATTTTTAGTCAAGTGCTGGTTTACATTTAGACAAATGAGAGTCAGTAGGCTTATATTAGAAATCTAGGCTAGGTATAGTGGCACATGCCTATAATCCCAGCCATTTAGGAGGCTGAGGCAGGAAGGTTGCAAGTTCAAGGCCAACCTCAGCAACTTAGTGAGGACCTAAGCAACTTAGTGAGACCCATTTTCAAAAAAGGACTGGGGATGTAGCTCACTGGTCAAGTAACAGTAGGTTCAGTCTCCAGTAGAAAGAAAATAATGGGGGGAGTACTTTTCCTGTCAAACTTCTGGAAACCTGGAGTGGATAACAGTTGATGAGCTGTATGCCTTAGATGATCAGACTGGGCAGATGTGTTTAAAACAATGCCAACTTTGTATTTCTCCACCCCTTTGAGAGTCCTTTATTCATTGGATATCACAGGATATCCTACTCTGGAAGTTTCTCAAAATTGCTTTCCTGTGGTTTGGGAAATGAGAGGTGGGTGAAAATACATTTGTCATAACATCTTGGATTTCTTGTATTGCTAAAAGAGTGCCTGAAAAAATATTCATTATTAAAAAGGGGAAATTTTTTTTTGTCCTGGATTCAAGTGGTAGAGCGCATGCAGCAGGCCCTAGATCCAAGTGCCAACACCACAAATAAGTGAATAGATTGTAGATAATATTCAGTTCTTGCATTGGGAGGATGCTTCTATCTTTGATGGAAGGTAAGAGTTAGCTTCAGTTTGTATGTGTGTGTTGTTGAAGATTAAACACAGGGTGTTGAGCCTGCTAGGCAGTTGCTCTCCCACTGAGCTAACCCCAAGCCCTAGCTTCACATTTATAATATTGGTTAGCCAGAAGGAACTTAATGGCTTTGTTTTATATTTGAAAGAAACTGAAACCCAAAGAAACCCAAATTGGCTGTATCATACAGCCAATTAACCTAGGTGGGTACTCTCAAATTTAGTACACTGGCTACTATTCCAATTTTTTCTTCCACTATATGTGGCGCTGAGGGTCGAACCCAGTGCCTCACACATGCTAGGCAAGTGCTCTGCCACTGTCCCACAACCCCAGCCCCTCACAAACAACTTAAGAGACTATTCTGTCTCTGGAATACTAGCTAATGTGATTTTGCTACTTTATTATTCTTTTCCTAGGCATGGAACTGTGACTTGGGAGAGTTGTGCTCTGGGGAATGAACAGACACTAGACCTCTTTTAGCCTTGCTTTTTCATATATAGCATCCTCATCAGCTATAGAAAATAATGCTGTAATGAACAACAAAAGGTCACTAACTGATGGTCTGAAATCTTGTTTGTGCTATAACTCTTCCTTTCTTGCCTTCTGGTTCCTTTCTTCTGCTCTTGGTTCACTGGGGAAAAATTACCTGAAGGCCATTGAAAGAATTGGTAAAGGAGAAGCGAGAAGAAGGGGAAAATAATTCACTTGGCGCGAGCTATATAAAAAATTTGTATTTTGGGAGAGACCTCCTTCTTAATCTGGCTTCTTTCTTGGGATGAATGAGTCATACTCTATAGAAATGGGGAAGGAGGACCAATTTCTGATGTTGTCACAGCATTTCTTATTGGGTGACTTCAGGCTGAGTATATTCTAGGCCAATACCTTCTGAGCCAACAGAGTGTTTATTTAACTCAATAACTTCAGTTCTTAACAAGAGGACTGCATTATTACCTGTGAGAAGTACATGGAAAACATAATGAAGAGTATTCATCTCACTTTGCCTTGTTAAAGAAGATACCATTGACTCACCTCAGAATTATCACAGATTAATGTGTTGTCATTCTGTAGGAGATTCAGCTTTGGTCTCATATGTCAGCTGCCAAAGTATATATTGGAGATGTCCTTCCGCTTTTATGTTGGATGCGGTGTTGTTTTCTGGGGCGGGAGAACTAAATTACAGTCCCAGAGAAGGCAGCAGTCCTCATCCTCAGGGCAGTGTGCCATGTGGAAGAAGCATCTTTGCCTGACCGAAGTCAGATAATCTGAGTATGATGAGGGGAAACAGCTCCTATGGGTAGATAGATAATGCAGCATACATGGCAGACCTTCATGTACTTCCCTGCTGCTCCCCCAAAGACTCCTGCACAAAATAGGAAGGAAAGTGATATATCTACACTGGCAACACCAAGGTTATTAAGGAGAGAGATTTTTGTTGTTGTTGTTTTTAGTTGTAGATGGACACAATACCTTTATTTTATTTTTTTTGTGTGTGGTGCCAGGGATTGAACCCAATGCCTCACACATGCTAGGCAAGCACTGTGGCACTGAGTCACAACCCTGCCCCAAGGAGAGAACTTTTTGAGAATTTGTCTTAAAAGTAGTTGCAGGGGTGGGTACTGGGGACCAAACCTAGGGGTGCTTTACCATTGAGTTGCATCTCCAGTCCTCTTTATATATATTGTTTGTTTGTTTGTTTATATTTAAGATGGACACAATATCTTTTATTTTATTTGTTTATTTTTTATATGGTGCTGAGGATCGAACCCAGTACCTCACATGTGCAAGGCAAGTGCTCTACCGCTAAGCTATAACCTCAGCCCCTTATTTATTTATATTTTTAAGGTTTTTTTTTTTTAAGCTTTATTGGCATATGATTTTTTTAACTTTATTTATTTTTTTATGTGGTGCTGAGGATCAAACCCAGTGCCTCCAGCCCTATTTTTAAGTTTTTTTTTTAAGAGAGAGTGAGAGAGGAGAGGAGAGAGAATTTTTTAATATTTATTTTTTTTTAGTTCTCGGCGGACACAACATCTTTGTTGGTATGTGGTGCTGAGGATCGATCCCAGGCCGCACGCATGCCAGGCGAGCGCGCTACCGCTTGAGCCACATCCCCAGCCCCCTATTTTTAAGTTTTGAGACAAGTTCTCACTAACTGGCTAAGGCTGGCCTTGAACTTGCAATCCTCCTGCC